TGGCAGACAATTGGTTGAGTTTGTCTGAAGTCCTGGGATTAATGGAAAGAAATGTTCAGGTTATGGTAAAAGACTGTAGAGACCAAGTGTGACTGTGCAGAGGAACCTCTCAGATAGCAGACAACAGAGAGAGCAGGTTGTAAATTGTTTCTTATCAGACTTAATAAAAGGGTGCCTAGCTCTTAGTTGATTATTTCCTGGATCTGGGAAGAAAGAAAGGAAAACAAAGGGGAAAGGGGATTCTCTATAGAATGTGGATTTTTCCCACAAGAGACTTTGTAGGGCAATTTCCAGGTACGGCAAGGAAATGTATTTTAGGGTAAAACATTTTGATTTTCTTCCTTGTTATGCCAGAGTCAGATTGGAAAATAAGTCACTATATATGGGGTTAAATAAAACCCATCTGAGAAGAATTTATGGTTTGCAGGGCATGATGCCCCAGACTCCTTAGAAAGGAATTTCAGCAAGATTAAAAAAAAAAATCAGAACTTAGTCCTCAGGTAGCTACATGAAATTACCCTTATTTCACGGATGAGGAAAATAGAGTTTGTAAATAACGTGGATCAGGTTATGTACCTACAAAATGGCAGAGATGAAGTTAATAATCTCAGGTGTGATGACTTAAAAATGAATATTCTTAACCTTCTTTGCAAAAGTCACTCCAGATCCTTTTTATTGCAATAAACCCATTGCAAAGATTACATTTCTAATCAGACTAAGGAAATCTCTACTATTGTTTTATTTGGATAATGATTAAGCATTATATAATAATAATAGTAATAGCACCTCTTGGACATTTTCTATTCACAATAGAGTATTCTAAGTATTTACATGTACTGGCTCATTTAATTCCTCACAATAATCCTAGGAGTAAATTACTATTGTACTTTGTATTTTATGATGAGGATCTGAGGCATCTAGAGTCAAAGCAACTTGCCTAAAGACACAGGCGCAGGGATAAATTCCTGGGCACTTACACACTCCCAAGACTAAACCAGGAAGAAGTTGAATTACTGAATAGACCAATAACATGGTCTCAAGTTAAAGCAGCAATTAATAGCCTACCAACCAAAAAAATTCCAGGACCAGACGAGTTCACAGCCGAATTCTGCCAGAGGTACAAAGAGGAGCTGCTACCATTCCTTCTGAAACTATTCCAAACAATATAAAAAGAGGGAATCCTCCCCAACTCATTTTATGAGACCAACATCATCCTGATACCAAAATCTGGCAGAGACGCAACTAAGAAAGAAAATTTCAGGCTAATATCCATGATGAACATTGATGCAAAAATCTTCAATAAAATACTGGCAAACAAAATCCAACAAAACATAAAAAAGCTTATCCATCACGATCAAGTTGGCTTCATCCAGGGATGCAGGGTTGGTTCAACATCTGCAAATCCATAAACACAATCCATCACATAAACAGAACCAAAGACAAAAAACAAATGATTATCTCAATAGATGCAGAGAAGGACTTTGACAAAATTTAACAGCCCTTTATGCTAAAAACTCTCAATAAACTAGGTATAGATGGATTGTATCTCAAAATAATAAGAGCTATTTATGACAAATCCACAGCCAATATATACTGAATGGGTATAAACTGGAAGCATTCCCTTTGAAAACTGGCACAAGACAAGGATGTCCTCTCTCACCACTCCTATTCAACATATTATTGGAAGTTCTGGCTAGGGCCATCAGGCAAGTGAAAGAAATAAAGGGTATTCAAATACGAAGAGAGGACATCAAGTTGTCCCTGTTTGCAGATGATATGATTGTATATTTAGATGATATGATTGTATATTTAGAAGACCCCATTGTCTTGGCCCAAAATCTCCTTAAGCTGATAAGGAACTTCAGCAAAGCCTAAGGATACAAAATCAGTGTGCAAAAATCACAAGCATTCCTATATACCAATAACAGACAAACAGAGAGCCAAATTATGAGTAAACTCCCATTCACAATTGCTACAAAGAGAATAAAATACCTAGGAATACAACTAACAAGATTTGTGAAGGACCTCTTCAAGAACTACAAACCACTTCTCAAGGAAATAAGAGAGGACACAAACAGATGGAAAAACATTCCATGCTCATGGTTAGGAAGAATCAATGTCATAAAAATGGCCATACTGACCAAAGTAATTTATAGATTCAATGCTATCCCCATCAAGCTACCAATGACCTTCCTCACAGAACTGGAAAAAAACCGCCTTAAACTTCATATGGAACCAAAAAAGAGCCCACATAGCCAAGACAATCCTAAGCAAAAAAAAAAAAACAAAGCTAGAGGAATCATGCTACCTGACTTCAAGCTATATTACAAGGCTACTGTAATCAAAACAGTATGGTACCAAAACAGATATATAGACCAATGGAACAGAACAGAGGCCTCAGAAAGAATGCTACACAACTACAACCATCTGATCTTTGACAAACCTGACAAAAACAAAGCAATGGGGAAAGGATTCCATATTTAATAAATGGTGTTGGGAAAACTGGCTAGCCATATGCAAAACGCTGAAACTGGATCCCTTCCTTACACCTTATACGAAAATTAATTCCAGATGGATTAAAGATATAAACATGATGCCTAACACCATAAAAACTCTAGAAGAAAACCTAGGCAACACCATTCAGGACATAGGCATGGGTAAGGACTTCATGACTAAAACTCCAAAAGCAATGGCAACAAAAGCCAAAATAGATAAATGAGATCTAATTAAACTTCAGAGCTTCTGCACAGCAAAAGAAACTATCAATAGAGTGAGCCAGCAACCAACAGAATGGGAAAAAAATTTTGCAATCTACCCATTTGACAAAGGGCTACTATCTAGAATCTATGGACAACTTAAACAAATTTACAAGAAAAAACAAACAACCCTATCAAAAAGTGGGCAAAGAATATGAACAGATGCTTTTTAAAAGAAGACATTTATGCAGCCAACAAACATATGAAAAAAAGCTTATCATCACTCGTCATTAGAGAAATGCAAATGAAAACCACATTGGGATACCACCTCATGCCAGTTAGAATGGCGATCAATAAAAAATCATGAGACAACAGATGCTGGAGAGGATGTGGAGAAATAGGAACAATTTTGCACAGTTCCTGGGAGCATAAATTAGTTAAATAGAAATTCCATTTGACCCAGAAATCCCATTACTGGGTATATAACCAAAGGATTATTAATCATTCCATTATAAAGACACATGAACACGTATGTTTATTGCAGCACTGTTCACAATAGCAAAGACTTGGAGCCAATCCAAATGTCCATCGATGATAGACTGAATAAAGAGAATGTGGCACATATACACTGTGGAATACTATACAGCCATAAAAAGGGATGAGTTCCTGTCCTTTGCAGAGATATGGATGAAACTGGAAACCATCATTCTCAGCAAACTGACACAAGAACAGAATAGGGAGAGAGGATGTCAAATTGTCCCTGTTTGACGTCCTCACTCATAAGTGGGTGTTGAACAATGAAAGCACACAGACACAGGGAAGGGAATATCACACACTGGAGCCTGGGGGATGGGGACTTAAGGGAGGAATAGCAGGGGGTGGGAGGATTGAGGAGGGATAGCATTAGGAGAAATACCTAATGTAGATGACAAGGTGATAGATGCAGCAAACCACCACCATGGCACGTATATACCTATGTAACAAACCTGCATGATCTGTACATGTACCCCAGAACTTAAAGTATAATGATAAAAAGTTTTTAAAAGACACAGAGGCAGATATTATTTACTCACTTATTTATGGCCTACCCAAGAAAAGCCACAGTTGAATGAATTTATTCCAGTTCTTCACTGCCAGCTCAAGGACATATAACAAGTTCTGAGAAAATGTAGAGGAGAAAAATCATTTTCTTCAATGCCTTAGCTAAGTTCTCTTCTAGAATTTATCACAACCCTGGCAAAAGTAGAGAACCTTTCATTCCAAATGAGTGTATGCTTCCCTTTAGATTCCTAAGAAACATTAATTGTTGATTAGAAAGCTGTCACTTTGGGCTTAAGCAATAAATTCCTTGGTTTTATTTAAAGTGTTTTAGTGACCTCTTTTTGTAGTTGATTGAATTGGCCAAGAGTTGTTTGTTCAGTCATTAAGGCCTATACTAGTCTGTTCTTGCACTGCTATAAAAATATTCCTTAGGCTAGGTAATTGACAAAGAGGTTTAATTGGCTCACAGCTCTTCAGGCTTTACAGGAAGCATGGTGCTGGCATCAGCTCAGCTTCTAGGGAGGCCTCAGGAAGCTTACAATCATGACAGAAGGCAAATGGGGAGCAGGCACATCACACGGCAAAAGAGAGAGACAGACAAAGAGAGTGACAGAGTGAGAGGAGAGAGAGAGTGGCGGGGGCAGGGAGGAGTGCTACACACTTTTAAATGACCAGCTCTCTCAAGAACTCACTATCATGAATATAGCACCAAGCCATGAGGGATCCACCCCCCAGGATTCAAACACCCCCCACCAGGCCCCACCTCCAGCACTGAAGATTCCAATTTGACATGAGATATGGGTGGGGACAAATAGCCAAATTATATCAAGGCCCAAATCAGAATTCCTGCCTTCATGCAGCTACAGAGTATTAAAACTCTCCCATCAGTCACAGGGGCTCATGCAGCCATGATTCTGAAACATGGAAAGGTGTCTGCCTGTGGTTTTCATGAGCTCTAATGAAAGCGTTTGGGAATCTCAGAAGAAGGAAAACTGTTTAGAAAAAGCATCATCCTCTTCAGGTGATTATACCATGTCATACCCTAAAGATCACCACACTAAATGCTGGACTAACATTGTTTCAATGATTCTCCTGCTATACAAACAAACTCTATTTTGATATTCCAGGATGTTTTTTTGTCATGGTGAAGTTTTCTGCTAAACAGAGCATTTAAAACCTCAAACTGTACAATGCTATTCATTTTACAACGCAACAATGGCCAAATTGTTTTTTAATAGCCAACAGGCAAACTATTAGTGAAATCTTAGGAAGTGGGGAAAAACCCCAATTCACAATAACTCCTTCTATAGATCAGCTAGTTCAAAATTACGTAAATGTCTGCACAATTGACCCATCTCACAGCTTCACTGTAAACATTAGCCCAAGGTCATAAAAATGAATGGTCGACTGTGAGAAATCATGGGGTTCTTTTCCATGGCTTTCCTCATGGCATTTTTAATCTCATTATTCCTAAAACTGTAGATGATGGGATTCACCACAGGGATCACCAAGGCATAGAATATGGACACCACCTTGTCCCTGTTTAGGGAGTAGCTAGAACTGGGTCGCATGTACATGAAGAATCCAGAACCATAGAAGAGGATCACAGCTGTCAGGTGAGAGGCACAAGTGCTGAAGGCCTTGGTCCTACCTGTAGCTGAGCTGATCTTCATAACAGCAGCAACAATGTAACCGTAGGAGATGAGGACCACTAGCACAGACACTATTCCAACGACAACACCCACTACGAAGGTCACCACCTGACTGGTGAAAGTATCAGAGCAGGACAGAGCAAGGACTGGAGGGAGGTCACAGAAAAAGTGGTTGATCATATTGGGCCCACAGAAATCATGCCGATAGACAGAGTATGTTTCGATGAAAGAACTAAGGAATCCACCCACATAGGCACCCACCACCATCTTTAAACAAAGTGTATGGGTTATGAGGACTGTGTAAAGCAAGGGGTTGCAGATTGCAGCATACCGGTCATAAGCCATAGCTGCCAGGAGAAAGCACTCAGTCAGCCCCATCCCACAGAACACAAAGTACTGAGTGGCACAGCCAACAAAGGAAATGGTTTTCTGCTCTGTGATGATGTCAGAGAGCATCTTAAGGGCAGTGGAGGACACATAGCAGATGTCCAGGAAGGACAGGTTACTGAGGAAGAAGTACATGGGTGTGTGCAGGTGAGAGTCCATCCTGATGAGGGTGATGAGGCTTAGGTTCCAGGCCAACGTCAGGAGGTAGAGCCCCAGAAATAACACGAAAAGGAAAATCTTCATTTGAGGATGGTCTGAAAGTCCCAGGAGGATGAATTTTGTCAAAATTGTGTTGTTCCTTCCTACAGCCATAGGCCTGCTTCCTGCGTAAAGGAAAGAAGAATCTTGTGGTTAAATTTTGTTTGTCATTTTAAGAGTGGGTATTTCCTGGAAGATCATGCAAACAGTCAGCACCCAGTAAAACAACACCCAGTTAAAGCCCAGCCACCTGCTAGGCCAAGACTTTTCAGAGGAAGTCTATGCTTGTTGACCAAAAGAGAATCTGTCTAACAATAAAGTAGAAACTGATGGGAAGTTGGAAGCCTGAGTTTTGTCTTCAGCTCCATTCATAAACCTGCTGGGGCTTTGAAAAGGTCACTTCTCCAGATTCTCATTTTCCCAAATGGGAAATTAGAGGGTTGAATCAGATGAGTTTGAAGTGCCGCTTTGAACTTGGGCTCCTTGTGCCTTTTTTAGTCTTTCTGACTTGAAAATAAAGTATAAATAAATAAAGTAAAATAAAGTTAGGCATTTTATGTGTTATAGATCTTTAGTATAATAACTCAAAAGAAGGGAACTAAATACAATGGGCTATAATTTTTGACATGTTCCAATTTGGGAGAGGAAATCCATGCAACAGTCTAACAATCTATTCTTCTAGGTAGTAAAACTAAGTGGGGAAAAAAAGTGTGTGTGTGTGTGTGTGTGTGTGTGTGTACATATTTGTGTGTATATGTATGTTTGTATATGTATGTTATATGTATGTATGCAGGGATAATTGTATATATGTATATGTTTGTGCATACATATATACACACACAGTATGCTTAAGACAAGAAAATTTATTCTAATTATGTAATGTTTTTAATACAAGTCATTGCACAAAATTCAAAGAATGGTCAAAATTTGGACTACCATAGTCAGTGCAATTATAGGAAAGAAGGGATATGAACATGTCTCCATGAAAGGGAAGAGGGAGCAGTACCTAAGCTGACTGAGATGGGCTGAGCATGCTGGTCAAGAACCAACAGCAATCAATATTTCCTGGACAAGAAAAGCAGCAGGGAAGAGAAGTTTCATTCACTATTTAAAGACAGTGATAAGCAAGGGACAACTTTGATATGATCAGGCCAAATCAGATGATCACTACGAAGACAAGAGATAAGCCCTGTATATCTGGTAGTTAAGAAACACAGACTGGCACTGATGTAAGATCAAAATGAAGAAAACAGGCTGGGTGCAGTGGCTCACTCATGTAATCCCAGGACGTTGGGAGGTGGAGGTAGCCCAATTGCTTTAGCTTAGGAATTTGAAACCAGTCTGGGCAACATGGCGAAACCCCGTCTCTACTAAAAATACAAAAAATAGCTGGGCTTGGTGGCATGGCAGTCCCAACTACTTGGGAGGCTGAGGCAGGAGAATCACTTGAACCCGGGAGGTGGAGATTGCCGTGAGCCAAGATCGCACCACTGCACTCCAGCCTGGTGACAGAGCCATAGTCCACGTAAAAAAAAAAAAATTAGCGGCGTGTGGTGCCACGTGCCTCTAGTCCCAGCTACTTGGGAGGCTGAAGTGGGGGGATCGTTTGAACCCAGGAGGTCTAGGCTTCAGTGAGCTGTGATGGCGCCACTGCACTCAAGCCTGGATGACAGAATGAGACCCTGTCTCAAAAAAAAGAAAATTGTTTTAAAAAAATTAGGAAATACAAATGAGTATAAAGAGGCAGAAGTGCCCAGAGAAACACTCAGTGGTCAAATTAAGGTTGCTGTATTTTATCATTTTTATGGAATTTGTTTGCCCATGCATGTTTGCACCCAATGGTAACCGTGGTTCTCTGTCATTAGTCATATTAAAAACTGCCCCTAGTTTTGTGTTTTTTACAAATTTCTAATCTCACAAGTCACTGGTCAAGCAGTCAAAACCAAGAAGAGCCTAGCTTGCTCTTCACTAAACCATCAATCTATTTAGCCCTATCAAAAAGGAAGAAAGATGAATTTGGTATCTCTTAGCTTGGCGAAATCTTCCTTACCAAAATGTCAGTTACTCAAAGGCAGGCAGGGAGTTTTGTCCATTTGGTTTACTGATCTATCCTTGTAACTATCCAATAAGCTCACCTTGCCCGCTGCCTAGACAGAGCTCATTTATCAAGACAGGGGAATTGCAATGGAGAAAGAGTAATTCATATAGAGCCGGTTGTGCAAGAGACTGGAGTTTCATTATTACTCTAATTAGTCTTCCCAAGCATTCAGGGATCAGAGTTTTTAAAGATAATTTGGCGAGTAGGGGCTTGGAAGTAGAGAGTGCTGGTTGGTCAAGTTGGAGATGGAATCACAGCGGGTCCAGGCGAGTTTTTCTTGCTGTCTTCTCTTCCTGGGTGGGACGGCAGAACTGGTTGAGCCAGTTCACCGGTCTGGGTGGTGTCAGCTGATCTTTCCAGTGCAGGGGCTGCAAACTATCTCAAGCACTGACATCAGCTTTTACAATAGTGATGTTATCCCCAAGAGCAATTCAGGAAGGTTCAGACTCTTGGAGTCAGAGGCTGCGTGACCCCTAAACTGTAATTTCAGAACTTGCAGCTAATTTGTTGGTCTTGCAAAGGCAGACTGGTCCCCAGGCAAAAAGAGGGTCTCTTCAGGAAAGGGCTGCTATTAATTTCGTTTCAGAGTCAAATCATAAACTGAATTTCTTTCCAAAGTTACTTCAGCCTATGCCCAAGAATGGAAAAAGATAGCTTAATGGTTAGAAGCAAGATGGAGTCAATTAGGTATAATTTCTCTGACTGTCATAATTTCCTCAGTTATAATTTTGCAAAGGCAGTTTCATCATGAGTACCAAGAATAGGGCTTGGGAAGGACATAGGCACTCAGTAAATATTTTGTTGAATAAATAGATGTATTCCACCACTTATCCTCAGAGTTTGGCAGAAGTGTTTGGCCTATGACTTCCTATATTTGGCCTGTTATTATTATAATAGCAAAACATGTAATATATGATATAATCACAAAAAATAATATAATAACAATCATAATATAATAATATAGTCAAACACTTATTTAGTACTTACTGTGTGCCAGGTACTGGTTCTAAAGTCTTGATTTCTATAAACCCATTTAATTATCCTAATAGACTCAAGAAGTGGCAGCGTTACTCTGCCCCTTTTACAAATAAAAGGTAGAATAGGTTGTAAATTTAGTTGTGATTTGCTGCTGGATGTATGAAGTGGGAGAGAATGAGCTGGACTTACTGCATTGCATTGGGCAGAAGGATCCTACAATCTTGTGCTACAGCAGAAGAAACACTGGTTGCTTTGCTGCCATAACATCTTTTGCAAACCAGGTCGTCTGCATTTCCCACTGCTCCATGCCTGATTTCTGGTTCCGTCAATTTCTTATGCTTTGGCCTCATGTAAATAGTGAAACATGCTTCTGGAATCCCTGCTCCTTTGTTAACAAGTCTTCCAAATAAATGGCCTGTGGGAGTTCATTATTTTAATGGGCAGGGGTAGCCACATTCTTTCTCCAAGAGGCTGCCCTCTGCCACTCACTCCAGGGTCCAACGTAAAAAGCCCAGCAATCATTAGAGCTAAACATTTCTGAGCACTAATTGTTCCCCGGAGTGGTGGTGAAAGGGGCCAACCACTCATCCTGGGAGCCTCTTTCCATCCCCCTACCTATTCTTCACTGAGCTTTCGCTGATTTGAGTCCAGGAAGATTCCCTGCTGGGTTAGTAGAGGGCCTTTTGCTTAAGAGAAATTTCATCAGAAGAAAACCACACATAAACATACCAAGCCTTATACTGAAATATACTGGTTAAAAACACAGGTTTCCAACTCAGAGAACTGGGTTCAAATTCTGGCTCTGCCCTTTTATCAATATGTTTAATCTCTTAAACTTGTCAACTCCCTCATTTGTAAAACTGGTGTAACAAGAATACCTACCTCAAAAGAGTTGTGATAATTAAATAAACTGTGAATAAGAAAGGGTTAACACAGTGCCTAACAAACAGAAATCACTCAGCAAATGTAAACTAATGATGTCATTAGCTGTTTCTTGGGTCCTGGCCAAAAATGTGTCTTTTCTTTCTATCTTTTTCTTGTGACTTATTTGCATTATGATGAAAATATTTCTTTTCTTTCTTCTTTTTTTTTTTAATGAGGCGGGATGGGATGAAGGGCTTGATGAGGCTCTTCTTTTCTCTTTTTAATATTTTGGATGTTACTCCCAGCAATGCCACTACTGTGGGCAAGTCAATTAACCCCTTCAGCCTGAGCGAATTAGGCTCACTCTCAAAGAACTCATCCAGCCCTGAAAGTCTAATGTTTTAAAACATTGGTTTCCTGTTTTTTGAAATGTTTTCTTCAAGAATAAAGTTTGGAAAAAAGGAGTTAATGTATTTCATGGAGATCAAGTTACCAATCCTCTGTCTCAAAAGAAAAAAAAAATTAACTGAGAGAAATGTCTCTATATGAAGGAATAATTACTGAGACCCTTGACATACAAGGTAATAGGCTTAATTTAAGGAAGAAATTTAGCAACTAAGATTGTTGAAAGAAAAGGAGATAAATGGCTTCAAGAATCAACTGTGAACCTGAAATGGCAAGGAAGTTCTTCGTCAAGAGAAACATTCTTATCTAGGGTTGGAGACAAACTGTCCTAGGAAATTCTGATACTGGGAGAGTAAACCCCAACTATGAAAGAGTTTTGATACTGAGTTAAGATCTGGTGAATTTAAAAGGTTAATCTCATAATCATGATCTATATATTTTTCTAGGATTAGAAAAGGCTGATAAGATTGGGTAGTGATAGATTTCATAGTGATAATGACTACCTACGAAGTAAGATTGAGGATCTTAAGAATAAAGAGCAGTAATGTCTTTTGCAACAATTTGGATGGAGCTGGAGGCCATTATTGTAAGTGAAGTAAGTCAGGAATGGAAAACCAAATACTGTATATTCTTACTTATAAGTAGGAACTAAGCTATGAGAACACAGAGACATACAGAGTGATATGGACTTTGGGATGTCAAGGGGAAGGGTGGAAGTGGGGCGAGGAATAAAATATTATGTATTGGGTACAGCGTACACTGTTTGGGTGACAGGTGTACTAAA